TTTTTTTTTTTGGTACCGGGGATTGAACTCAGGTCTTTGTGCTTGCAAGGCAGGCGGCAGAACCACTGAGCTAAATCCCCGGCCCTTTCACAGCCCTTTTCACTACCTCACATGTATTTCTGTTATTTATGTATTGTTTGTCTCCTGAGGCATGTAAGCTCCACAAGAGCAAGGACTTTGTCTATTTTATTCAGTGCTGTGTCCTGGTGCCTAGAATAGTGCCTGGTGTCTTAACAAAGATGAATGAATGAATGAGTAAATGAGTGAATGGGTTCATGAGAGGGAAAGGAACTGGCTGTAGTTGTCCCTCCCTGGATCTCTGCCACCTTTGTTGTCCTGCTGCCCTCAGGGTGTAACGTGTTTTCTGGTCTCCTGAAGGAACATGCCAAAGTGCTGAGGAGGGGGGGCATTCCTGTGCACCTTGAAACCATGGAGCCAGGGGCCCCATACTGTGTAAAGGCCCAGGCGCAAGTGAAGGCCATCGGGAGGAACAGTGCCTTCAGCCAGGCAGAGTGTGTGGAGGTGCAAGGTAAGGGTGGCCTAACTGTCCCCTGGCCCAGGCACAGGGACCTCCCCCTTGGTGTGTGGTTGGGTGCCTGCTGGGTGCTTTGATTTCCCTGATTTGCTCCCAGGCTAGATGGGTTCCTATGGTGATAGTGTGCTGGGCACTCTGGCCCCCCAGGAGGCAGAGGTCCACCCTGAGGCTAGGTGGGGTTCCCAGAGCTGCTCTCTGAAATACTTTTTGCCAAGCCTTCTCCACTGGGGTCAGATGTTTCTTCCTGGGGCCAGACACGGCTGAAGGAGAGGCAGCTAGGGGCTCCAGAGTCAGGCCTTAAAAGAGATACCACATTATGATATCAGTTTCTTTGCTATGGAAGGGACCTATAGAGAGTCTAACAGAATACTTTTAGTTATTTTTTTCCCTTGAATTTTTTATACTTTAAAAATCTACATCATCTAAAAACTTTTTTTTTTTGGTACCAGGGATTAAACTCGGGTCCTTGCGCTTGCAAGGCAGGCCACCGAACCACTGAGCTAAATCCCCAGCCCCCATCTAAAAACTTTTTGAAATGAAACTTAATCAAACAAAGCACTATACTCTGTGATTACACTATTAAAAAATAACTAGTTACAATTTTTGTGTATGACCATTTAGTTTTTGTTTTTGTTTTTTGTTCTGGGGATCGAACTTGGGAACCTTGCACTGAGGCAGGCGATGGAACCACTGAGCTAATTCCCAGCCCGACCATTTTGTTTTTTAAAAAATGAATCACTGTTTTCAATATGTAGTACATTATATGGTTCAGCAATACAAGATGCACATGGATATTATCTTTTCTACTCCTTCCCCATTATTTAATTCCTACATGCTCTCCTGTGGGTATGAGCTTCTTGTATAACCTTCTGAAGACTTTTTATTCTTATTTTTATTGGGTACCAGGGATTGAACTCATGATCTTGTGCTTTCAAGGGAGGCACTGTGCCTCTGAGCTAAATCCTCAGCCCCTCTGAAGACTTTTTAATGCTTTAATGTATTAAAGGCTGGAGATTTAGCTCAGTGGTTTCGCTACCTGCCTAGCAAGCTTAAGGACCTGAGTTTGATCCCAGTACCAAACAAAAACAAACAAACAAATAACAATATATATATATAT